TGTTCGCGTCGTCCTTCCTGCTGAAGCTCAGCAATATCCTCTGCGTTCTGTTGACCGCAGCAGGACACTGGGTTCCAATTCCACCTTCCTGAGTTGGAACGCTTCTCTCCGAGGCTGCTCTCAACCTCAAGCTCAACCTCTCTGCACCAGCCCCACGGCTCCTCTGCCTGCCTCCTGTGCCTGCATCCTTCCCTCATCATTCTAGAAATCCTGGGGTTCACTTTGACGACTCCTCCCCTGATTGCTGTTGGCCAGGTTACCCATCCTTCCTCCGAGTTCCCTCCAAACCGCCCTTTCCTGTACTGGTCTGTCTATTGACTCCTACAATACACCAGACCCGGTGCCGGAGCTAGGACTCCAAAGAGAACCCAGGCTTGGTCCTGTCTTCCAGTCACCCACAAGCTAAGCCCAGCAGCAACAGCTCCTGAGTACTGGATGTGGTCTACCTTGAGTGCCCTGGCTGCCCCACCTTGCTAAGAAGGTCCCTCATTTGGCCTGTTCAAAGTATCCTTCCCAGAACAGTTGATGCTTATTTGGGGTTTTAACTGACCAGTATCAGGGACCTTCAGGGGAGAGAAGGTGAAGAGCTGAGATACAGAGTCAGAAACCCCTGCACGCTTACCTCACCTGCAAACCCAGACAATAATGGCTCTCACCTGGTGCCTCTGGAGCGAGTCTAATGGAAGAGCATGTGTCAGTGTCTCAATCCGGACCTAAGAGGGCACCCCATACCCCTAGCCACTGCTGTCGTCTGGGGGTGCACTCTCTTACTGGGGACATAAGACCAAGAACATGCAGAGTTTCACAGGGACACAGAATACCTAAGGAGCCTTTGATATTCCCCTGGCAAAGGAAATGATGAGGGCACATGGCCGAAGCTACTCCCTGCACGCCTCCCCTGCCTGTCCTTTCCCCCGCCTGTCCATTCCCCCGCCTGTCCACGGCACTGAGCCGCCTGGTCACCTTGGCCGTGCGAGTGCCTGCTGGGTCCTGCAGATTCTGCCTGCAGACTTCACATGCACCCTTCTGTCCTTCACGTCACCTGCGAGTGCACACGATATTTCCCATTTGTGGATGAAGAGGTCGGACTTGACAAGGAGTCTGACAAGCCGGCGACCCCTGTGCGTGGCTGGCTTGAGATCGGAACCCAGGCCCGCCTGGCAGAGATCTCAGGCTGCTCCATCAGCACAGCGAGAACATGGCCTGGAAGTCACTCTCCATCTTCCTGCTGCTACCAGAAGAGCTTGGGTGGATGGCACCATGGGTCCTTCCTGCCATGGTCCATGCCACATTAACAAATCTAGTGGTGGTGTCAGGGCAGTGACCAGGGAGTGACAGGACTGCAGCTCACTCAGACAACACAGAACAAGACGCAAGCCCTCTGCAGGTAAGAGCACTCGCGGGCACCCAGACCCCCAGCAGCAGCCGGGACTTCCCAGGCAAACTGCCCCCATGCAGAACGCACCGGAGCAGACTGAAAACAGGAACCTGTTCACAGCCACACTGGCCACACCAGCCATCAGTCCTGCCCATGGTATCACGGGGGGCGGGGTGGTCTCGGCATGAAGCCCCTGCTCCAGGAATGCTGTTAGCCCCCGTGGGAAGGAAGCCGGTGCCTCTGGCTTTGAGACCTGTCCTGAGGGGAGCTGAGCTTCAAAGCTGAGCTACTGCTGTTGATCTGTGAGATCAAGATCACTTTGTGAAGAAAAGATATTCCAGCAAGGGGTCACCCTGGCTCTAAAGAAGATAGATTTTATATTAGATTACATCTTGAAATGATTCTCGAAAACCGGCTATTAATGAGACAACTGCTTCCATCTTATGGATTTCTGGGTGTTACTGTAAACACTTGTGTTTGAAGAACTGTTACCACCAGCCTTCGTTGGAGGAGACGTTTGCTAATATCCAACGAAGCGTTTATCACGAGGAATTCAAGTGGAGCTCTTGTCCCACTTCCCAGAGCTGAGAGAGGACTCTAGGAGTGTTTTCACCAAACAATGCCACTGGGAGACAGCAGAACTGCGGGTGATCACCAAGGGACAGTAGGAGGGCACGTGGCCAGGGCCATCTTCCTTGTGCCGGGAGCAGAGCTGCTTGGACAACTGTAGAGTGCCGAGGCGCCTTGGGACGGGAAGTGGCGAGTTCCAGGGACTTGCCTGCCTTAGGAAGCAGCCTACTCAGTGGATGCCCAACTGCTGTGGGGAAAATGGAGCCCGAGACCAAACAGGCCGCCAAACAATAGGTGGGGAAGAAAAGGTGCTTGTACCCGGCTCCCGACTGCTGGTGCCCTGCTCGGGGACCAGCTGTCATTCCTGATGGATCAGATAAGCCTGGCCTCGGCACACACCCTCTGGGCAGAAGCCAACCTGCACTTTGCTGGTTTGGGAAGAGAATGGGTCGCAGCAAGTGTCCGCAGGCTCTGCATGGCCTCTCAGGGCTCGGCTGCCAGAGTGCAGCTTTGTGCATGTCCTGCCAGGGGTGAGCGAGCTCTGCCAGCATCTGCCACACACCTCTGGTGTCACTGCTCAGCCACATGACCGAGCAGTTTAGAGACCAGACTCTGGAGGTGACCTCTGACCAGGTGTGGGAGGGCAGCAGGAGAAGGCTGGGCTCCCAGTTGCCTTGGGACTTCTTCACGTGGCTGCACCCTAGAGGTGGAAGGAGGAGGTGCTCAGGGGTGCACAAGGAAGATGGCCCTGGCCCCTGGCTGCAGGGCAGGGAGGTGGCCGTGTCTCAGGGCCTCCATCCCTTTTGGCCTCAGGCCTCCTCTGGGCCTGGAGTTAGCCCTGGCCCTGCACTGCCCACCTCTGCCAGCCAAATACCTGTCGAACATCTAGTCCGCAAAAAAACCCCAACGCTAGCATTCAGAAGCACTGTAATGTGATGTGATGCTTTTGCCATCACTGTCTCATCGAAAGGTCATTTTCAATTCCGAGCATTGGAGGTGCTGGGAAAGGACGGCCTTCAGGAAGCATGGCTGGCACCTCTCCTGAGCACGGTCAGGAGATCTGCGATGCACCCTTTCCCTCACTTTGCTGTGGTCCACTCTGAACAGCAGGACACATCCAGGAAGCACAAAGGAACTGGGCTCTGTCCCTCGTTACAGCTGCTCCTTCCTGTGCTGTGACAAGCACACTGTTTATATTTCCAAACACTGAGTGGGACGTGAAGCCACACTCCTCCCACCATCTGGGAGTGGTGCTGAGGTCAGATGAGCCCTGGGTGTGAGCTCTCCACACCCAACACACCCTAAGGCATGGCCGACTCACGCACTGAGCCCTGGTGGAATGAGTTAAGGTCAGCAAAGAGTAAGGGGAAATGCAGCCAGGATGCGGGAGAGGATGGCATGGGTCACGACGGGGAGCCTGGCTGCACTGAGGTGACATCGCGGGCGGGACCTGGGGAGAGGGTCTGACAAAGTCCCAAGTGCAGAGTCAAGGAAGGGAGCACAGCTCCAGGGGGTTGGTCCCTTGCTCCTCACGGTGTGTGTGAACAGTTCTGAGATGGCTCGGCACCTGCACTGGGGTTGAAGTCACCATGCCTGGGGACCATGGAGCCGGTTCTCACAGATGGAGAGTGGGGCTGCAGTAACCAGGGAGAACACACCGGAAGGATTGGAGGTGCTGACTAGCCCCAGGCATCAACATGTGCTCATGCTGAGCTCCTGACAGGCACACGGTGTCAACATGTGTGCACGGGTCAGGAAGCAGGTGCACATCAGAGCCCAGGCAGGGACGCCCAGGAGCATGCGCACACCCGGGCAGGTCTGGTCCTCACACCTGGTCTGCTGGAGGAAGCGGCCCATTCCCATGTGGGGCAGGAAAACATGAGCACCAGGTGGGGAGCACACAGAAGAGGGGGTCGAGCCACCCACAGGCTGTAGGTGGGCCGGGGCAGGGGGCCAGGGGTCAGGAGCTGGAACCTGGCCATGCAGCACACGAGCGCCCGCCTGTGCCTGGTGGACAGTACCAGCCCGTCTCTGGCTCCCTGAACTCGAGTTAAGGAAGCAGCTGACAGTGAACAGGCCACCAGTCATGAAGAATGCTACAAAGAAAGTTCTCCTGAGAATGCTGGGCCCCAGCAGAGCTGGGTGGTAAACTCTGAGACCCGAGGGGACAGGAACCAGGCAAGGGCCACATCTTAAAGGCCTTGGCAGGTCACCTGTGCTGCCCCTGCCTCCCCCTCCACTCTCTCTGGGTTCTCATCCTGGCTCTGACGTCATTGTCATGAGTCCCCTACACCACCCCAGACACCCTGCACTCTCCCTCTTTCCTCCAGGCCCTCCTGACGCAGAGCCATGGAGTACGGACCTGGATCCCTGAGGGCCAGCACTCCCCACATCACCACTGCCACCGCGGGATGGAGGCTGATCTCAGGAGCCCTCCACGTTCTGTAGGGCTGGCGGCTGACCTGCTGCTTCCTTCTCCCCAGGCCCCTCCCCTGTTCCCTCCAGGGCCCTCCCCTCTTCTCCCTAGGCCCCTCTCCTGTTCTTCCCCAGGCCCCTCCCCTATTCTCCCCAGGCCCCTCCCCTGTTCTCCACAGTCCCCTCCCCTATTCTCCCCAGGCCCCTCCCCCCTTCTCCCAGGCCCCTCCCCTGTTCTCCACAGTCCCCTCCCCTGTTCCCTCCAGGCCCCTCCCCTCTTCTCCCCAGGCCCCTCCCCTCTTCTTCCCCAGGCCCCTCCCCTGTTCCCCCAGGTCCCTCCCCTGTTCTCCCCAGACCACTCCCCTGTTCCCTCCAGGCTCCTTTCCTGTTCTCCCCAGGCCCCTCCCCTGTTCTCCCCAGGCCCCTCCCCTGTTCCCTCCAGGCCCCTCCCCTGTTCTCCCCAGGCCCCTCCCCTCTTCTCCCCAGGCCCTTCTCCTGTTCTCCTGGGCGGGTCCCCTTTCCCTGTTCCCTGTCTGCACCCCCAGGAATCTTGCTGCCACCCTTAGCTCAGCCTGCACCTGTGGGTCCCAGGCTAGTGCCCAGGCGCAGTGGTGTCTTAGCTCAGGCTGGCACAACAGACACCACAGCTCAATTTATTTCTCACTGTCCTGGACTCAGGGAGCCCAAGACCAAGGTAGCAGTCTTCATGGAGAGGCCCCTTCCTGGCTCAGTGGCAGTGGCATCTCTCTCTGTCCTCATATAGCCAAGAGAGATCACACTCTGGGTTCCCTTCCTCTGCTTACAGGGACACTGATCCCACTGTCACGACCCCTCTATCCCTAATTACTTCCCAAAGGAGTGTGGATGTGGGGACCTTCAGCCCACGGCAGGTGGCTGTGTTCTCTGGCAGGATGCACTATGGTTCTCCCAGGGCTGTGTGGGGCGAGGAGCAGGCGCTAGCTTCCGCGGTCACTGTGGTTTTGAATGGAATGGCGGAAATAGCACTTGTGGAGGGCGTGCTGCCGGCTGGTTTTACAAGCCCTGAAAGGAAACAAGGGGCTCAAGTCAGCCAGCCTCCGCTCAAGGCCACCGGAAAGTCAGGAGGCTCCCAAGACAGGGTTTGGAGGGCTTCACCTCCCAAGGACAGACTATGCAGAACATCAGGCCCAGGGTCAGCGGCAGAGAGCAAAGCGAGAAGGAAAACTAGATTTCAGCCTTGGGTCTCCTGCGAGGGCTCCAGCCTAAGACACGGCAAAGGAGCCCGAGTACCACGAGGGCCAGATGCCCCTGCATCCCAGACTGGGCAGCAGCTCCCTACCCTGCTAGAGACAGACACCACCCTGTGGGAGTGGGCATGGGCCCCAAGCCTGTGCCACAGCTCAACACACTCCAGAGTGTCCACCACAGAGGAGGAACCCAAAGTCAGCCCACTCGCACAGGGTGGCATTAGGATCCGGGCCTCTGGGAATGGACAAGCAGCAGCATGGTGTTCAGGGTGTGTGAGGTGGACGCAGGGAGAGCCCGTCCCTGTGTGGAGCCTGGACGGGGGACCACAGGGACAGCTGCAGCATGGCGTTCAGGGTGTGTGAGGTGGACGCAGGAAGACCACGTGCTGTGTGGGCAGCGTGTCCCCGGGAGGAGCATCTCAGCCCCTTGCACTGTCTGGGACAGGGCCTCATTCATTCTCCTTAGTGGTCAGGTGTCGAGGATGGATGCTGTAAGCCACAGGAGCAAGCAACAGCAAGATGACTTCAGGGCAGGCAGGGCCTCCAGCACCTGTGAGGCTGCAGAAGGGAGCCCCAAGTTCAAGGCCCGCCTCGGTAACTTACCCTGTCTCAGAATTTAAACAGTTTAAAAACTCCTGTGGGTGTAGCTTTGTGGTAGAGCACCCCTTGGGTTCAATCGCCCCTAAAAATAATAATAAACACCAGCTCCTGCTGGGCGCAGTGGCACAAGCCTGGGATCCCAGTGACTCGGGAGCCAGCCTCAGCAGCAGCGTGGCGCTAAGCAACTCAGAGAGACCCTGTCTCTAAATAAAATACAACATAGGGCTGGGATGGAGCTCAGTGGCTGAGTCCCTGGGTTCAATCCCTAGTACCCAACCCCTGCACCCCAACCCCCACAAAAAAGAAAAGAAAACGTGAAACCAGAGCACGAATTAATGTTGTGAGCAAAATAAAGAGAATCAGCAAGAGAAGAGTGTTTCTTTGACGTGATTTTAAAAAGCAAACATAAGAAATTGGCAAGATGGATGAAAATAAATAGTTTAAATAAAACAGAAATCACCAACGTCAGAACTGAACAACAGAACCCGGCCACAGCTCCCAGAATGCAGAAGCAGGAGCAGAAGGGGCTTTCGACCACTGCCTACAGCACACCCGACGACTTCACCGACTCACAACCTGACCCAGAGCAGTTTACCAAAACAGACAGAGGACAGAGAAAAACCCAGCAGCCTTTTTCTATTAAAAATTGGCATCCATGATCTAAAAAACTGCTCCCAAAACCAAGTCCAAACATTATGATTTCTCCATGGATTCTTCCACAAATTTAAGGACTCAAAACAATTGTTCATGTGCCCATTGAGAGAGGAGAGGAGGGAACTGGCACTCACTCACCTGGGAACCCGTGTCCTCTGCACCGAGCCTCTGAAGGACGTTGCCAAGGACAGGCACCCGGGCAGATCTCCCTGACACCCTTAGATCCAAAGCCTTCTGAGAGCAGTAAACCATGCACAGCGGTTCTTGTAAGGTAATAAAACCTCATGATAAGTTCCTGGATTAATCCTGGGAATGCAGGTTCAACATTGTAAATCAATAATATAATTCACAACAGTAATAGAATAAAGGTGTCAAACTTAGCAATCATCTCCAAAGGAGCAAATATCTGACAATCTTCAACATCTACTTGTGATAAAAAATTCTCAACAATTAAAAATAGAAGGGAACATTTTAATCAGAAAGAATAATTTAAAGAACAAACATAGCAAATCTATTACTTAATAATAAAATTTTTAAAAAGCCTTTTCTCTGAGACCAGAGTATGTCTACGATTACTATTTCCACTTGGCTTTTGGCAGGAAGGCCAAAAATATAACAATAATGATAAATTGAAAACTGGAAGTGAAGAAATAAAACCATCATCCTTCACAGGAGAACTGATTTTGCACGCGAATATCCAAGTGTCTCCTGCTAGAACGTGCTGGTGACCACTGTCCATACCCACAGTCCATATGACTGTGAAGAGCTGCCCCCTGGGCCGGCCTGAGCTGTGGCCAGGCCAGCCCACTGGCAGGAAGTAACTAGACCCTCAGGAAAGAGGAGGCGGCCCCGGCAGAGAGTGCAGGGTGGCCCCAGCAGGAGCAGCGCGGGCAGGTGCGCGGCACCTGGAGCAGCAGCGGCTCTGGCACAGCTCGACCTCTCACAGCCCCGGAGGCCCAGCCCAGGCCCAGGTAAAGAGCGTGGAAGCTGAGTATCATTTAACCCTTAAAGCAACCACAACAATTAAGATTCAGATGTGAATAGAGAGTTAATAGGTGATTTAAATGAAATTCCTTAATGTGTTCAAATAATCCAAAAGAAGGTAGAAAAGAAAAAAACAGGAAAAAAACCACCAAAACACAAACAATGAGCCAGGAGCCATCTGTAATCCCAGAGACTCAGGAGGCTGAGGCAGGAGGATCTCAGCCTCAGCAATTTAGCAAGGTCCTAGGTAAGTTAGTGAGGCCTTGTCTCAAAATAAAAATAAAAAGGGCTGGGGATGTGGCTCAGCGACTAAGTGCCCCTGAGTTTCATCCCTGTACCAAACACAACAAAACACACAAATAATGAATCCTAACTCTAGCCACAACAATATTATAAATATTAACATACTAATCCATTTAATTAAAAGGCAAAGTTTGTCAGAATGGACCTCAAAAGCAAGCACAACCTATGCCATCTCTATCCCAAGTGCAACTCTGGAAGACCACACGCGAGCTCTTGCCCGATTCCCTTGCCAGGTCACCTGCTCATTATAAGAGACCCCTCGACAGGACTGAACTAGAGGCTGGGGCTGGGGCTCAGTGCTAGAGCACTTGCCTAGCACGTGGGAGGCGCTGAACTCGATTCCCAGCACCACATATAACTAAAATAAAGGCCCATCAACAACTAAAGAAATCAAAAAAATAAATAAAAGACTGAACTATGCCAGACCCTCCGTTCACCCCCTTGAGCCCTCTGAGGACACTCCTGGCTTCTCCTGCTCTCACAGAACCCATGGAACCAAGTGTGGGTTTCCTCACACTGACCCTGCACCCAGGGCCCCACTGGAGCAGGACAGCAGCTGCCTGGAGTTAGTGCAGACCCCCACGGGCAAGGGCTCAGCCCCACCAGAGGCCCCGCCTCCAAGGCCCGCCGCATAGAGGCCTCAGCTTACTCCCACACGGCTACAAATGGGGGACCCCTGGCCCCCTCCTCGGGTCTGGCATTTTTCTGTGTTGCTCACGGAACTCAGGGAAACTCTTACGATCGCTGGTTTGTTGTGAGGATGGATGGCCCGATGAGGGAATCACAGGCTGAGGTCCAGTGGACACAGGACAGAGGTCCCCGTGGAGCACTGGGAGGTGCTCTGCAAACTCTACGGCTCAGGCACCTCCACGGAGGCCTCAGCACCGGGGCATGGAGGGTCGGCTCCAGCTCCTCACCCCCACTCCCCAGAGGAATGGGGTGGCGCAGAAGCTGGGCTGCTGATCCTGAGCTGGTTTTTGGTGAGCGGCCCCCACCAGGAGCCCAGTGAAACCCACCTCATTAAAACAACACGGGCTGCAGTCACCTGGGAGAGTCCAGGGCATGCGGATGCTGTCAGGAGCCAGGGGCAGCAACCAACATGTGCCTCTTGTTCTGTCACCGAATCCTACCCCAAGCTAGCTTTGCAATGGAACGAGAGCACCAGCCTTGCTCCGTGTTTGAGATGAAACCCGAAAACACGAGAAAAAAGTGCACCTGTGGGTGCAACTGGGAAAGAGGGTGCTCGATGGGCAGGTCACATTCAGTCTGGAGCTTATTATCTGAAAAACTTGAAGCCTTACTGAGAGTTTGCAGGGAAAGTGGGAGGAATGTCCAAACACCCTCTGCTCAGATTCACCCACAGTTAACATGTGCCCTGTTTGCTTTGGCATCTGGGTTCTTTCTCTTGAACCTCATATATATAAATACATCTATGTCCCCAAGACCTCTCTCTGAGAGCAAGTTACCTACCTGTGGCCTCTGAATACCTCATTTACCTGCAAATATTTGCCTTCTGATTATTTCAGTACGCATTTCATACGACCACAGATATTCCCCAACATAGCCACGGTGCAGTGTCAGGTTCAGTGACGTCGCGTGACACAGTGTCTCCATCTAATCTGCTGGGCGTGTCCCACTTTTCTCATTCACCCCACGGTGTCCTTTGCTGTCTTTCCTCTGGTACGGGACCTATTCTGGGCTCCTACATTGCTTCAGTCTCCTTGTCTCTAAGCCTTCAGCTCTTCTCCATCTTTGATGACATTGACGAAGTGCTTGCTTGAGTATCATCGAGAACATGCCCATGACTCTGCAGCTCTGGTTCTGGTGAGCAGAGAGCTGCAGTGGCTTTGGATGGGGTGGGCGTGGCCTGCTGAGGGCTGGCCCACCCTCGAGGAGGAGACCCTCTGCTATCTCTTCTCTTGCTCTTTCCTGAAGATCTGCAGGTCATTTCCCGACACAGAACCTGCAGGAGCCTGGCTGCAGTCCCAATGCTGGTCTCATGCCTGGACAACCTCTCTCTGAGGTTCAGGGACCCCAAGTCCCTTACCCCAGGCTCTGAGGAGGCAGGACTCAACAAGGTCCTTCCAATAGCTAAGGTGTCCTGGGCCTTGCTGCGAGCTGGTGGTGACTTCTCTGAGACCTGCAGCCACCCATCTCCGACTCTGAGAGTGACTGGGATTCAGACCAGCTCCTGGGTGTCTCTGCAAGAACCAGGCACAATGTGGGTGTCTCACTGGACAAAATGTCCAAGCCAGTGCTTAAGCGACATCTAAGAACTCAGCTGGACTGAACCCCAGGCTCAACCCAGCTATCCCAGATTTGGGGATCTGCACAGGAAAACAGAAAGCCTGGAAGCATGGTGTCCTTAACAGAGCACAGGTGACTCTAAAGGCAAGAACTTTCAGGAAATAGCACCCTCAGAGGAGAGCCCGCTGGGCGCCGCTGACAGTTCCCTCGGTGGATTCCAAGGCAGTCTGCAGCTGTGCTTCTCCAGTGGGAAAGGCCAGCACCCCTGCAGCTTGGGCTTATCTCCCCGATTCAGCCTTTAGTGGCCGTCCTCCCTATCGACGGTTTCCTCTTCACCCACCAGGGCTCTGTTCCTCCTGCAGCCCTTGGCCAGTCATTTCTGTCAAGTGGTGCTCAGTGGTTCTCAGTTATTTATGCAAAGGAGCCAAGTTGCAGTGCAGAATCAGGAGAACTGGGTTTCCCTTTATGCTTTAAGATCTTGATGAGGCAGAGGAAACCAGCTCCCTGTCACATGCTTCCAGCCGCCTGAGCAGAAGCCCCAGCCAAGGTGGCTTCCCTGTCCGGTCAGGAGGATGGGCTGTCTCAGGGGGACAGAGCCAGCCTGCACCACCACAGCTCCCCCTGGGGTAGGCAGAGGAGCTCAGGGAGCGGCTCTGCTCTGCCTCTCTGGCTGTGGGTGAGCGAGCAGCGCACAGGCAGATCTTGTCTTCTCTGCACAGTGAAAGAGCAAGACTCTGCTCCCACACAGCCAGCACCACAACAGCCACCCAGTGTGCAGTTACAGATGACAATGCTGGGAGCCAGAGGCACCTGGGGCCACCTGAGGTCACACAGCTCACGTGTGGCAGGGCGTGCACACCGAGCAGCCTGGATCTGCAGTCTCCTGGCTTTGCCAACAGCAACCCTGTCTACACCTCGCAGGTAGCTGTCCAGTTCCACACACCCCAATGCAAGCCGCACACAGCCCTGGGTGGCACAGCACCGGCCCAAGCAAGGGGGACCACGGTCCTGCCAGTTTCCTGAGCACCATCATGGCCCCAGCTTGCCAGGTGGGGCGCCAGGAGGCCAAAGAGCAATGGCTCGGGGCTGTGGATGACAAGGGCCTCCATCCCCAAGTGCACCATCCTCCTTGAGGTCCCAGCCCAGGATCCCAGAGCTGCCACTGTCCTGCCAGGGTGGACACAGGCGTGCCGCTGCCTACAGCAGCGAGAACTGTGTGTAACTGCTCAGGACCCGGCTGGGTACATCTCTGGTGTTTGCAGATGTGAGCAGCAGCACCTTGAGGAAGACGGTAGGGACCCGGGACCGCCCGTCACCCAGTAGCTGAGATGCCACAGTACACCCCAGGAAAGGCCACGCTGCGGGAAGGAGGAGCTAGACTGAGAGCTGCACAACAGGCCAGGAGGACAGAGGCAGGGGAAGAGGCCCAGGCGGCCTCCTTCCCACCTTGGTTCTAGAGGAAGAGATTCAAGAAACTGCAGCGGGGGAGGGGGCCTCAAGACCCCAGGGCTACTTCTTGGAGATGTGGCCAAGTCCTAGTTTCCTCACTGCAGCTCACACTCTCTAAACCACGGACCACGGTGCAAAGGGAGCCTGAGCTGCCTGCTGAATACTGAGGAGACTCCAGGGGGTTAGCTCTGGGGACCTCAGGACCCTAATTGCCTACAGCAGTAAGGAGGGGGCTGGAGAGCCAACTGGCTGGAGAGCAGGTTGACAGATGGCTCTGCTCCCCCACCCTCCCTGCGCCCTCCCCTGCCCATGCAGCCAGGGCTGTGCCCTGAGCTGACAGCAAGTGAGAGCTGTGGTGCTCACGGGGGACCTTTGACACCAGCCTCTCCAGAACTCCACCCCCACGCCCTCTGATGCCACCCCTCGGGGGCGGCCTGACGTGGAGTTTGGGGTGAGCTTCTCTGGTGACTCTGCCTGCGGGCGGCTGGGTGGAGAGCTCTGCTGTAGAGCTCCGTCCTGCAGTTTGGGGCAAAGCCTCTGCTTGCTGGGCACTGGTTCTGTAAAGCCCTCTGCTGCAGAGCACATCTGTCCTGGGCACAGGGATTACAATACCGCCCCAGTAACTTCAGGGCACAGCCAAGGCCAAGAACCACAGTGCCCGCGGGACACACATCAGGAGGGCTCCTGGGCATCTGCCTGCTCAGCCACCCAGAAATAAGGGCACTGTTCAGGGAGGGATTTCACCTGCAAGACGGAGTTTGAACATCCAAGCTGCCTTAGCTCAGGGATGGTGCCCCCCCACCCTGGCACCCCAAGCCAGCATTCTCTTCCGAGAACTTCACTCCCAAAGCCGGTCCCCTCTTTGCGGCTGAGCCAGCACAGCATGAAATGCTGTCACATCAGTTAATTGCTACTCTGCAGCCTGGCCACATGGGCAGGCGGTGGCCTCCATCCCATCAGATACGTGGCACAGTTGCCTCAGGACAAAGTTGCCCAGTGGGCAGACGTTAGGCCAGCCCAGCCCGTCACCCTGGCAACCTCTCTCCCCTCATCCCCTAACCCAGGAGCCCACGTCTTCCTCCTTCCTGCCCACACCAGAGCTCATCCACCCTCGCAGTGGTGACAGCAGATGACTAATGTCCTCTAGCCCCGAATGGACATCTGTCTTCCGAGCCCTGCTTCTCTCCCGGTGGCTCTGCCCCCTCAGTGGAGAGCAAGAACCATGAGTGGTGACGCTGAAGACGACTTCCCACAGCCCCTCACATTCCTGCAGGTCTCAGGCCAGGCCCGGACTTCCCTGTGCCCAGGCTGACCTACAGAGTGTCCACAGGGAACACAGCCTTGGAGGACAGAGATGCCTCTCCCCCGGGAGCAAAGGGTGGCTGTTAGGGTCTGGGCAGGAAAACCTCTGTCCTGCAAAAGCTCCTGTGTCAACGCAGAAATGTACAGAGGCGAAGTGATCCATGGCCTCACCTAATCAGGGGCCAATGGATTAGTGATGTGGAAGGAAACTTACTGGAGGGCAACTCTAGGCAGGTGGGGTGTGGCAGAGGAAGTGGGTCACTGGGGGTGTGTCCTTTGGGATCATATCTTGTCTTCCTGGCTCCTCTTCTCTGTCTTGAGGTGAGCAGCTTTCCTCCAGGATGCCCACGGGTTCTGCCTCACCTTAGCCTCCAAACTATGAGCCCAGGTAAATGCTTTCTCCTCTAAGTTGCTCTTGTCCAGTGGTCGGTCACTGTGCTGAGAAGCTGACTAACACAGTGGCCATGCTGACGCCTATTAGAAGAGTCAAGGGCCCTCGGGGCAGGGCCCCTCCCTCGATGGCCCCCTTGTGTGCAGGCACTCACCTGGCAGCCACACTCCCTGTGGGCCTCGGGGGCAAGAGTGCTGAAGCCCGTGAAGTGGGGGCCCTTCACTCCACTCAGGTCCTCCCACTTGCCGCCAGCACCCGTGACACTGGCCGGCTGAGGGGTCTGCTTGCAGAAGATAAAGCGCTGTCCACCTGGATTCCTAGCCCTCTATTCACACAGTGGCACTGTGCCGCGGGGGATGGAGGGCCTGCAGCAGGGCAGGCCAGGGTGAGTCTGCAACCCGGGAAGCGAGCACTCCTGAGAGCGCAGACCATTCCCAGGGCCTCAGACACGATGACACACAGGCTCCTCAGGAGTGTGCATGAGTGCAGAATCACATAAAATGAAGCAAGGGAGCAGCAACCCGGGACTTGAGATGGTGACCCAGCTGCGAAGAGGCGGGGCCTGCAAGGGGCAGTTGGCAGAACCACAGTGGCGGGGAGCTGGTGACACAGGAGCTCCAGGGCTGGGGGGTGGGTGTGCAGAGGTCATGTCCCCTTGCGCACCTGAAGGCAGACAGTCAGAGGGGGTAGACGGAGGGGTGAGGGGGACGTTGACAAAGGGAGCGTCCCACGGAAACCCTTCCTCGCTCTTCATTCTGGAAGATGAAGCAGGGAATGCTCTGGGAACACCTGTGTACCAGGGTGGAGTCACAGTGTCTCTGCACGGACCCCTGGTCGGTGCCTTCTGCTACGGAACCCAAACAGGTCCTTCCAGCCCCTCTGGGTGCCGCCCAGCAGGACAGCAACCAGCCGGCTTCTTGGGCCAACCCTGAAGTCCCCAAGAGGCTGAGGGAGCCTGGAAAGGGCCCTTCCAGTGTTCACTCAGGCCTGGCGAGGTCCTGTGGCGCTCAAGGTGCCCTGCGTGGGGAAGCGAAGGCCAGGTACCCAGGCCCCTGGCAGCAGCTCAGGCCCTCACAGTGCTGTGCTCAGCTTCTGAGGACACTCTTGTGCTCTGCGTGGCAGGACAGGGTCCATGTCCCCAGAATGAGTTCTGTCTGTGCTGACATTGCTGGGCTTTTAGGCTCTAGGTAAATTTTCCAAGTTGATTTTCTTGAAAGGCAGAATTGCCCTGAGCTAAGGAAAGCCCCTGGCTGAGTTGCTGAGGCTGGTCTCAAACTTGTGATCTTTCTGTCTCAGCCTCCCAGAGAGCTGGGACTAGAGGTGTGTGCCACCGTACCCGG